TAGTTGTTTTTGTTTTTATTTTTAACACGTTGCCACAAATGACAGTAATGCATCAAAAAGAAATGTGTTTCTGAGCACGGTCGTCAATTTAAAAGTGTGCAGCAATATGTAAATGTTATTGTTATGCTGTGAGATCGGAATCGACTCGTAGCTGATTCTCCAGTGGATTTTTCAGAGACTGTAAATCACACAATAGGATATTGTCTCTCTCCCCCCACCGGAGGTACAGGTGGATTCTAACCATCTGTCTTTGGATTGGCAGTACAACTCTTTACTCAGTAGGCCCTATGTAAATTTAAATAGGCGAATTTTCTAGCAAATAAAAATACTCGTAATTTATGTAACCAACTTTTTTTAAAAAAAATATTTTCTATTGGTTTGCTTACAAAGTTTGTGTTTCAGTACAATCATTCTCATTCATTATGTTTTATGAAATTAATCACCATTGGATCATGCCCACTATTACAGTGTGTTTTCAGGTCCCCACCGGATCTTTCCCATTTCCTTCCCCCCCCCACCCCTACCCACCCTCACCCTCTGCACCTACCTCTATCCCTTTTGGGTCCCCATACATGTTTTACTAGTTATCCTTCTATTTTTACAATAATGGTCTTAAGCAGTATTTGTCCTTATGAGACTGAGTTAGTTCCCCCAGCATGATACTTCCCCAGCCTCCCCCAGGTTATGTAGCATTTTTTTAAATCCTTGCTCTTGAATCCTGAGTGCCGCATAGTATTCCATTGTGTGAATGTACAATTTCTCAATCCGTTTGGTTGTGGTTGGACATTTGGGCTGTTTCTGTGATCTTGTGATGGTGAATGAACATTGGTATTCAAAATCTACATTTGTGTCTCAGTTCTCATTTCCTTGGGGTGTATTCCAAGCAGTGGAATAGCTGCGTCATACGGAGTTTCTATGTTCTGTTTTTTGAGAAAGCACCAAACTGCCTTCTAGAGTGCAGTTTATATAGCCAACATTTTTAATAGCTGTTTTAAAAATAGTGCATTTATCAGTAATTTTTAAATCTGTCGTCTATCTTGGTAGAAAAATAAGGCCACCTGCATGTTAAATATTGATATATTATGCTATTTAAAGATATTATTAAGATTTTTTTTTTGTTACTACATCCTGGTTTATTACTCCTTTGTCAATATGGTAATGTGCCTTTTTAAAAAAATTATCTTTATTTTGCTTTTATATGCATATGAAATCTGTATACATGATGCTTCACACATTCATCTATTCACTTTGTGTTTCATACGATCATTTCCATACATTGTGTTTTATAAAATAAATTATCATTGATCCATGCCCATCATTACCCCACCTTTTCAGATCCCCACTGGATCTTTTTAATTCTTTCACCCCCTCCCTGTGGCCAACACACTCTTCACCCTGTGATTTCTGCCCCACACCTCTCCTCCCTCCTCTTCCCACTTTGGACTTTGGACACATCTTCCTAGTTATCCTTCTGTTTTCACAATACTGGTCTTATGCAGTATTTGTCCTTGTGAGACTGAGTTAGTTCACTCAACATAATGTTCACCAGCCTCTCCTTTTTAAAACATTACACAGATTAGAATTGTAGCTGCATGTCGACTCCAGGATATCACTGATTGTGAATGCATTTTCACAGTAACTGCAGGACAAGGTTTCACGTCTGTTGGTCTCCACTGCATACTTAACAGTAACACCATCTCTGTGACCTTGGGCAACTTAACTAATCTCTCTTTGAGCTTCAGTTGTTGGTCTTTTTTGTGGGAGTGTTTTTTTTTCCTTTACTATAAAAACTTTCATATAATGAAACTCACCTCACTGGACTATTGTAAGCACTAAATTGTTGTTGTTGTTGTTGTTGTTATGTGCCGTCGAGTTGCCTGCGACTCATAGCGACCCTATGTACAACAGCCCTAAACTCCGCTCTGTCCTGTGCCAATCGCACTGTCTCCGACACTCCCATCCCAATTATCCCAGTCACTGAATCAATCCACCTCATAGAGGGCCTTCCCCTCCTGCGCCGTCCCTCCACCCTCCCAAGCATGACGTCCCTCTCTAAGGACCGGTCTCTCCTCACAACATGTCCAAAGTATGTTAGACGGAGCCTCAGAATTTTTGCCTCCAAGGAGCCACCCGGTTTAACCCTTTCCAGGACAAATCTGTTTGTTTTCCTAGCAGTCCCTGGTATTCTCAATACTCTTCTCCAGCACCACAGCTCAAAGGCATCAATTCTCCTTCTATCCTCCTTGGTCATTGTCCAACTCTCTGATGCATAACAAGTGATTGCGAAGATACATAATATTTTTTAGCCTAACGCTTTGCATATATTAAACACATTCTAGAAAATACTATAGTTACATATGAATTAAATGATTTTTGGGTAAGCTACTAATGTTTTCTACACATCAGTGGCAGCCTGTTCTAGAAGGCGACCATGAAAGAAGCAGCCTGTGAATTCAGTAACAGTGGGTTTAGTGAGCAAATGCTTTTACACAAGGAATGGGAGATTCCTGATGATGCTGTTAGTTCCTCCTGGAAATAAGCACAAAAGTAACGTAGCCTGGGATCTTCCTTACTTTTTTTTCTTATTTCTTTTTTTTTAAAAAAAGTATTTCATTCTTCTTTTATAAAAGAAAAATCTAAGATACTTTTATCCTTTGAACGTGGTGACACTAACCTCGCAACCACATGAGATTTCTCATTGTTCTTCAAGATTCTAGTCAGCACATATTTAGTGAACATTTATTGTGTGCCAGACATTATTTCTACACTGGTGAGTAATGCAGGCAGACTCTGCTTTACGTAGCTTGTAGAGTGTGAGGACGAGCATTGCTAAATGTGTAAGCCCTTGCAATACAGGTGGCTAAAGCTGAAATGACGTGGGTGAGTATTTCTGACCGGAGAATTACAAAGAATGATGGCAAATAAAGTCCACCTTGGGGCCTGAAAGAGAAATAAGATTGAGGAGGCAGGGGTGTCTGAAATAGAAGGTGGGTTTCATTGTTAGAGTAAACTTAGATGGATGATATGTGAACTCATGGAGACAAATAGCAGAGCCTTTTTCCAGCTGCCTCCCCACCTTCCGGCTCTATTTCCCAGAGCAGGTTGAGCCTTTAAGACCAAGTCGCTCTTCTGCTCAAAACCCACCCGTGGCTTCCTGTCTCATTCAAAATAAAATTCACACTTTGACCATAGCCCTCTGGTGGCTTAGTGAGAAGGGAGTGCACCACCAAAGCAGAGGTATATGGTTCGAATCCACCAGCTTCTCCATGGGAAAAAGATGGGCAGTCTCTTCCCATGAGACTTACTGCCTCTGATAACCCCCTGGAGAGTCAGCTGGGTTGCTTCCAATTTGAGGGTTCACAACAACAGCCCCCAAGCCCTGGTGTCATTTTCTGCTTCATCTTCATTTATCATCAACCTGGAATATATTTGGTATTGTCATTGTTCTCATCATCACACTCGGACCACAAAATAGAAATTGCTGTTATCGGACCTTTTTTCTCCCTTATTGTTCCCACTACTTTGTATGTGATAAGCATCCCATAAATAAGGGTGGGGTTGCCCACAATGATGTTTTATCTTACTTTTTCATCTTTGAATCTCTTCTGTAAGGTAAATTTGTAGGATAATGATAAAACCCAGGTGGCGTTTTCCAGTGTATCTTTTTCACATGTGTTTTCTGATAAAGCAGCTGAGACTGTAGAGCGGGCTCGGGCGTGTCGGGGATGATGAGGAGGGCGGCACAGTGAAGGCCGGGCCCCTGTCTGTCCTTTATCCGGTTGCTCCGAGTTGTGGTCAGCTCAGCGGCACCTGACAGTAACAACAGGTATCTTTGTAGCTCATGTCTTCCTCATATTTTTGAGCTACTTGTAAAGACACCATATTACTTACTTGCTGAGTTTTTAATACGGAGTTTGTTTTTATTCTTTTTGATGTCGTAGTTTGTCAGATTAATAGGATATCTGACTCTTTGGTGTTTTATTTGTGTAAATTAAACATAAATAATACCAGTCATTAAATACGGGAGCTCTAGTGGCCTGGTAGCAAGAAGCTGCACTGCAATCCCAGAGGTACATGGTTCAAATCCACCAGATGCTCTTCTGGAGAAAGAGGGGCAATCTCCTCCGGTACCAGTCAGATCTGATTTGATAGTGTACACACACACACACACACTCTAAATAAATAAATAAAATTTTTAAAAATAATCTCAGTTATTAAATAACAAGTTCTTTTATAGCAAGATAGTTTTCCTTTAAAAAAAAATCATATTGTTACAAGTTGTGTCTTTCATTACTCCTCACTCAGTCAGAGATAGAAGCTGAGATATTCCAGGTGCAGTTACGGGCTGCATCCGTAACATGGTACATTTATGCACTTTGTTCTGATTCAGAACGTGCTGGTTACACGGAGCCCTCACGGTGAGCCTCACGTACGTGTGTCTGGAGAATTTCGGCTCCACCTGGCTCTGCTGGCTGGCACTTCCACTTCCCCCACTCTTCTGTCTTTTCTCCTTTCCTACAGCATGGAAGAATAAACGACCTTTTCTTTTCTTTTTCTTTTGTTTTTTGAAAAGTACATGTGCCAGATTTTGCTAGTCCTAATACTTTGTAATTATTCATTTACCTTATTTTCTGTTCTGTTTTGTACAACTGCCACCACGCCCACCCTCTCAAATAAAGCATCATCTTAGACAGCCCCTAAAAGAAAAACTCTTGTTCCAGCAAAACGGTGGGCAGCCATGGTCCGACTGGATTTGTGACCGGCTCTCAATGTTGGAGTCTGTTAGTTCTTTCACACCCCCTGGCCCTCTCGTCTCTCCTTCCTCTTCTCCCTGATAGTGCTAAGACTGTAGTAAGATAAGTGTGCTCCAGCCACATGTCCAATCCAAGTGTTAATTTTTAGGTCATATGTTAATAGATAGCAAAATAGGAAGTGTTAAAAATGTATAGATTGCTTTTGTGTCACGAGTATAAAGTCTTTTTTTCTTGCCAAAATTATAGGGGATGGAGTGTTAGATCTCTCTACAAAGAAAACCAGCATAAAATCTGAAGACTCGTCCATATGTGATCCTCCTTCTGAAAATTCAGTGGCTGGGTAAGCAATATCTAGGAAATATAATTCAATACTAATATTTCAAGGATCTCTTCAGAGAACTCTGACTACTGTTCTGATTAGGCTTATGAATGTCATTTTCCTTCCGAATTTTTTGTCACTCACAAGTATGTCTGTCTCATACTTTCCATTTGTCCTTTCTCTTTCTTTTTTATTCTTTCTGTTAAAGAAAAGTTATCAGAACAATCACCAAACTTTAGTTCATGTTGCCAAAATGCACTATCAATTTAATCAGAGACTATGAACCAAGAAGCAGGACAAGTAAGGGCAATTTTAAATATCCAGGAAGTGATTTTAATGAAACTATTTCATTTTTAAACAAATTCTAAAAGTACTATACGGAATCATTCTTTCAGCTAGTTCATAGTATTGGCTTTTTTTTCCCCCATTGTGCTCCCAAGTGTGGTGGCTAATGACTTAATTTTATTAATCACCACATACTTAGAAAGCTGTCATGAAATTACTTTAAATAAAAAATGTACGCTATGAAACACTGTTCTTGTTGGATTCTTGGGATTTTCTTTTTTTTTTTACATTTTTAAAATTTTTGCATCTTCCCATTAACTAAAATCACAGGAAGCCTTTTGGGCACACTTAATCTTAGATATAGATTATAATCTGTTCCACCCAAAGTTGTAGTAGCATTTAAGTCATCCTTTATAATGCGCTTTCTGTTTAAAGAATTCAGAACTTACAGTGCTTCGTTAGAAATAGAAAGAGCTTTTTTAAATATCTAAACTTAAATCATCTTATTCAAATCTGGTTTATCGACCTGTTTCAAATTTTAAGTTTTGGTCTAGAGAAAGGTTAGTTGGTGGAAATATGAGATGTCTGTGTTTGGTAATATTCCTGCTGCTACAAATTTCCTTTAAAGGGGTTGACTCTTTTATTACTTGTTTAGCGGTAACGTCACATTTCTACTAACAAAAACGCCTTTAGGATTGGGGTCTTTTTTTTTCTCTTCTTAATAATGGAACACTAATTGTACAAATAAAAAAAAATTATAAAGTGTTGCTTTGCAAGCATCTGTCAGAGGAATAGCAACATCATGAGACCATTTTTACCAATACTGAGTTAGGATTTTGTGTTCTTGGAAGGTCTGCCCGTTGCGGCCACCGTATGATTGACACATTGTCCTACCAGGACTGTGGCGTTTGCTTTGGTACGGAGCAGCAACTCCACCTCCCAGACCTAAAAGTGTCATAAGCAGTGATGTTACCTAAGCAAGGAGTGTAATAAAGGAGTGGGCCCTCCCCTTCCATAGCTGTGTGAGAGTCTCTCATGCATCAGTTTACCATCGTTTCATTCCATCCATCCAGGAGACTGCACAGAAACAGAGAGGACTATGTGGAAAGAAGTGCTGAGTTTGCAGATGGTTTGCTCTCAAAAGCTTTGAAAGACATTCAGTCTGGAGCACTGGACATAAATAAAGCAGGCATACTTTATGGCATACCTCAAAAAACTTTACTTCTCCACTTAGAAGCCTTACCAGCAGGGAAGCCTGCAGCTTTTAAAAACAAAACTCGAGATCTCACTGATAGTTGCTCATATAAAGACAGCCAAGAAGCTTGTGCAGTTCTGCAGAAAGTAGCCCTGTGGGCAAGGGCGCAAGCCGAGCGCACAGAAAACAGTAAACTCAACCTACTTGAAACCTCAGAATTAAAATTCCCGACAGCTTCCAGTTACCTCCATCAGCTCACCCTACAGAAAATGGTCACTCAGTTTAAAGACAAGAGCGACAGCCAACCCCACGAAACCGCAAATCCCGCCGTACAGTTAAAAATTCCTCAGCTGCGCGTGAGTTCGGTTGCAACCAAGCCACAGCCTGATGGGTCTGGTCTGCTGGATGTCATGTATCAGGTTTCCAAAACCTCTCCAGTCCTGGAAGGCTCAGCTGTCCAAAAACTGAAAAACATCCTCCCCAGGCAAAACAAAGTCGAGTGTGCTGGGCCGGTGACTCACTCCAGCGTCGACTCTTACTATCTCCCCGGGGACCTCTCTCCTTTGTGTCTTAATTCAAAAAACGGAACAGTGGATGGCGCCTCCGAAAACCCAGAAGACGGAGTGGATCGCAAAGATAACAAGCAGCCCAGGAAAAAACGTGGCCGCTACCGGCAGTACGACCACGAAATCATGGAAGAGGCCATCGCCATGGTAATGAGCGGAAAAATGAGTGTTTCCAAAGCACAAGGAATCTATGGGGTACCTCACAGCACTTTAGAATACAAGGTCAAAGAACGATCGGGAACACTGAAGACTCCTCCCAAGAAGAGACTGCGATTACCAGACACTGGGTTATATAACGTGACAGATTCAGGGACTGGCAGCTGCAGGGCCGGCAGCAAGCCTGTGTAGATTACTGGTTAGGAAAATGTGTGTGTGTGTGAGTGTGTGTGTGTGCGCGTGTGCGTATGTGCACAAGTGTGTATATTTGTGTGTCTGTATACACACACGTGGGGGTTCAAATGCTCACTCTGACAGGAGACATGGAATTTTACAGTTCAAAAACCACTTACATGCCTTTTGAAAAAAAGTTTTATTCAGGGTTTTCACTGTGGACAGAATTATATAGTTGCTTACTTAATTCTGATAGTTTGTATTTAATCCTTGTATAAATAGGTGAAAAAGATTCAGGTTTTCTTTAGTAGTCAAAAGCATAAAGCGTGTGCGAGAACAAGTAATTGTCAAGTGAACTTGTTTATTGGTGAAAGACCACTCCAGCCATTCAGGTGGCCCCTCTTGTAATGGAAAAATAGGATCTTAATAGTTTGCAAACATTTTCACAGAACACACTCACAGCTGTCAAAGGACATCAAGCCACCAATCAGTTTAAATGGACAGCTATCTCCATACTCAGCAAAATTAATACGTACAGTATTAGTCTACTGAAATTCAATGAAATACAAAAATGCACGTCCACCAGGAATAAAAAGGAAAACCTTAAATGATATGTATAATGAAATTGAATATTGAACCTTTAATAGTTGCTTTAGCTGGAACCTGGGGTTTAGAAGGTATATACTTTAAAAGGAAAAAAAAAAAAACCAGCCTGACATATAGTTAACCCCAGCAGCTATAGAATCCTTATTAATATAAGATGGACTACTAAGAACAAAAAATAATTTAAATCTAATTATTATAATAATTTCATTTTCTTTTTCATTTAAAAAAATAAGCTAATGTGTAAGGGTAGAAAAAGAAAGTTGGAATGCAACTTAGCGCATGTTAATAATGTGCACAGAAAAAAAAGCTTGAGAATGGTCATTTTGGTTTCAATGTGCCGGTTAGTTGATGTTATGACTACTTTAAATTTTAAGGATTGTGACACACTCCTGCTATTGAAAAACCTCAGTATAACTTTAATATATTTGCTGCTGTGACATTTCAAAACATTTTCAGTTTATCAAAATGAATTACAGATTTCATTTTGGTGGGCAACACATTATCATTTTGCTAATAACCAAATTTGCAGTTTGTTCAGGGTCTTGAATAGATTTACGGATATTTAACACTGAAGCTGTTTTGAGTAATGTAACTCTCTCAAGTAGTTAGAAGCTGGGCAGTGCATTTGTGACTCTCACTAGCCTTGGAAGAGAGACCAGTCATTTTTAACGGGCAGTTCTGAAGTGTGGCTCAGAGTATCCCGGTTGGATTTACAGGGGTGTGCCGTCTTTTTGTGGAATTATCCCAGTCTGTGCCTCCCCAGGAAGGGAGGGGATTTGCTCTCGAGATTCCAGAATCTACGAGTGCCCCTTTTGCTGTGAAAATTCAGGTTCTGACCGCTTTTCTAAGCCAGTTTCCCTAAATCCAAAAAGAATACTTTCAGCTGAATTCTAAGAAAAAATAAGTGCACCTTGTCAAATGCTCGTATTTTTACACTGGCGTTTCTGTGTATTTAACAGTCACATAGACTAGTGAAGAGATTTTCAGCTACTCCCTTTAAGAACTGCTGGCATATCTGTAGAGGAACTGAAGAGTGAGAAGCGTCACCAGTATTTGCTCGGTCTCTCAGATACCTTTTGAACCCTCTTCGCTTTCACTATTACCTGCGTACCAGGATATGAATCCTCTTGCTCTTTTTTTTCTCCTCCCCCCCTTAATAAATATACATAATATATTACAAAACAGCAGATGTCAGGGTCATCTTTCTTTTTAAAGAATTAAGCCATATTTTGTGAGGGCCAGAACTTGGATTATTTAATATATTCCCCCCCTCCCCATTGAAAAGCGAAGTTAAAGGTAAAGTCAACATTTCAAACCCATTTTATTGACCTCTTTATACAGAATTTTACTTCAGAATTTTGGGGGCTTGAATGCATTACATAATATTTATATTGTACTAAGCTTTTTTATTCCTCACACTATATTTACATTAATAAATTGATTGAGAACTTTATAGGAAAGGGAAACTTAACAGAACACTTTTATATCATTTAAAAGATGACCTGACCAAAAACGTTACAGGATTCATAAAATCAGGGATCATTTTGCTATTGACTTCACAGTGATCAGTAGTTTTATAGGTAATATTACCATTAATTTGCAGCATTTTAGTACTTGTATTATTTATTTTTGGTCAAAATTAGTAAATTAAAATATTTTTTGATAGTTTATAAATGCTAGTCAACCCATAACTTTTAAAAGGAACAAAAATATTTCTAATTCTTGAGTTAGCTTTTTAATTACACAGACCAGGAAAGGCAGGGAAATTTATGGGCTCCCCTTCCCCCAGTGACTTGACTCACTGAGATGTCCTTTATGTTCAACTTTAAAAGTACTTTATAAATTTAGTTACCAGTTACTACTTATTGACAGTTTTCTGAAAAATCCAGTTTCAGCAGACTTTTAATGAAGATGAAAGCACCCCTTCTTGTGCTTTCCACTTATTTGAATGTTCCTCAAGTATTTTATATTTAAGAGAAAGAAAGAAAAGAAAAAAAAAACAGTGCCTCTGTTTTTAGAACTACTGCTCAGTAAAGTTGTTTAAACCATTTCTGGTAGCTAATGACAATTTTATATTAAATTGTATACTAACTTTAGTGAGACTGATTTTTAGTTGTTTACAGTACAAATACTTGTATTTGTTTTTTAATTGCAGTATTTCCATTGTCGCAGTAATTTAGTAACACTCTGTGGCTGCCTTGATTTTGACAGATTTTGTTAATATAAACTGATTGTTAGGCAATTAGTTCTATTTATGCATAAATCAATTGCACTATAATTCATGAATTATTTATTACAATATTTTCTAATGAATTCATGTATCTGTCTTGTGTTGTAAATGTACTGTAATTCTGTTTCTACTTTGTGTTGTTATATATCTAAATCTGATTGTATGAATTTTAATTGTTCAGTTAATGTGTTTCTAGGTTGTAATTTGTAGTAAAGCACTTCAATGCTTTTGCACATAAATTTACAACACTGGTGGTGTGTGATTGATTTACTCATTCAGTAAAAGAAAAAAGCAAAGAAAAAACCTGACTACACTGACTTCTTTGATTCCTTTAGGAAACACTTTTATTAACATTAACTGTAGAAATGTACTTTCTCAGAAGAAGTATTTCAACAGGGTTTATAATGGGTAAAGCGAATACTGTATAGGAAATAGGGCTTTAGTTGATGAGCAGGGAAGAGGTTAGGAAAAAAATAACATAAACCAGAGATTAACAAGAGTGTATGAAAATAGAATTTTAAAACATCTACACCATCCCTAGGCTTGAGACTTGGATGTGCACCCACCTATGTGGTTATAGGATAGAATTTTTTTTCCTTTGAGATTCTAACATGCAAGAAAATAAGCTTTTGTTGAAATTCTATAAAAACAGACATAAACCAAGCATCTTAAGTATTGTTACCTTTTTAAGCATCTTTTCCTAATGCATCAGAGTGGAATATTTGAAATTGCATTATGTAATAGACTGAATAGGAATACTTTTAAAGCATAGACTTGCTTAGAATGTAAGGAAAAAAGGATATCTGAATCTTTCCGTAGTTTCATAGTATTTTTTAGTTTTATCACTTGGAATTACAGCATTTTTCAGAATGCCTAATACTAGTCATTAGGTGAGATTGTTTTTCTTTTATAAAGCAAGTCAGATTTTAGGAACAATACTAATCTTTAAAATACAAGATACTTTTTCTGAGCAGTGACAACTCTTTAATTACTAACAGATATTACTTAATAGATTTCAAGATCATTGTCAAGAAACTGTTAAAGTGCACTTACCTCATTTTATTTCTTTTGTTTATATAAAAATGACAATCTATTCTTACACTTATATGAAAAGTGGCAGTTTTTACTTTTGGAAAAATTTATCAAATCACTTAATATTTGATATATGTTATTTCCCTCTGTTTGTTTTTAACATAATTTTTAAATCAGCATTGATAAAATGTATAATTCTTTTCAAAAAGAAAGGGTCTCTAATGTATGCCCTGTTTTCATTTGTCTGTGGACTTAAAAAAATTTAGTATCTCTTTATAGCTTCTCCTTTTGCCTGATAGCTACCTGATGAAAACTCACATGGCTAGTTTTAGCCAGATTGTTATTTTAAATCTAGCAAAGTTAACTTTTGTCCAGAAAAAATGTTTAGCTTAGCAGATATTCAAAATATGCTTTAATATTACCATTATTCAAATGATCTAATTTCACAAAATAGAAATGGAGTATTTTCTACTTACCTAAGATAGAAGATTAATTCTACTTTACATTTTTAGAGAAAGTACCTTCATTTGTAATATACATTATAAATCTTTACTTAAATGAAATCCCCTCTTGAGTAGCAGTTCCTAATCCCCATCTCCCAATCTCAGTACTTTGTAAAACGTCTTCAAACTAGGTCCACTTACCAAAGACAAATCAGTAAATCATGAGTGGAAGGCTAGTTTCATGTACAGAGTTTGGTGATATGTTTAACTAAAATAGATACTTTTCTGAAACAGAATTCTTTAATATATTGTGTTCTTCTTACTGCTGGCATTGGATTAAAAATTACTTTGTAGATTTCTACATTGGTTGCTAAGCAAACGTGGGTCTTAGTTAAAGTTAGATTCCTGTTAGTTTCTGCAGTGGGACATTTTCCAGCATTTGAAATTAAATAATTAGGTAAGTAGTTTTGATGTAATTACTTTAATATTTAAAATCAATTTAAAGTAGATTTTATTCTTAAATAGTTTAAATTTTTCATTTTCTTATTAGGTTAAAATGCTTACAGTTTAACCTTAGAAAAGATATTCTATTAGTTATATGAACTCTAAATCCCTTCATATTTCTTGTGACTGTGCAAAGCCCTCTTTAACTAATAAAGTTCTTTTCATTGTTTTGAAAAATTGACTTTAACTAACATTAGGAAAGACTTCACTCCGACATCTTAATGTCCTAACTTGAAGTAATATGGACTGATTATTAATTCTAAAAATAACTACTTATAAAATGTCCACACTGCAAAAAAAAATAGCTCCTTTTGAAGCACTTTCCACTAAATATGTCCAAAATAGTAAACATTTTCAAGATGTAAATAATGTGCATACTCAGCTTTCATATTACAATAATAGGGCTTTGCTTTGACTCATATACCACCAGAAATTAATTATCAGCAGTGCTTCATTATATTTTGAGAAATAGTAACAGAGAAGTAACCATGACAACACTGTAGGAGTTAGGCATCAAGACAATACCAAATCTCTCTTGTTCAAGCCTTGTTAAGATTACGACTCCTTATACTATTGGTATTTTTGCTGTAATTTATTATTTTTGTTTGATTTTTATTTTTAGTTCAACTGTTGATGCAAATTCAGAGGAAGCTACTAAAATGGAAAACGAAAAATCTGCATTAAGCAAAGTTTTGGAATCTTTGTGCACACATCACCAACAACAGATTTTGGCTATGTTGAAATTTCTAGTTCAAGAGCAAAAGGCTGCCTCTCTTTGCTGTTGTAACACATCATTTGCGGTGTCTTCAGAATCTCAAAAGTCCCTAACTGAAGATGATTTGCATGGTCTGTTTTGTAGTTGTGGGAAGTATAGACTGGCAGAAAGAGGGTGTCTGCAGAATGAAAGACAAAGCCCTGGGTTGATGCCTTGGTCAGGCGGTATCAAAGATTCACATTGTTTGTCGTGCCGCATGGTAACTGTTGAACCCATTAAGACAGTAGGCAATAGAAGAGTTGCAAACCGTTACAGTTCTCACAGGTGCTGCTCTGGACAGTTGCCAAGTGGTGTTCACTCTGCCAAATCGGCCCTCTCTACCCCTTTCTTGTCAAGGGAAGTGTGTGATCTTTCCGTCAGTCTTACGGAGGTCTGTGGATCGCGAAGCCCCTCACCCCCACCCTTGTCACCTGTACAGACTGAAGAATTTGAGCCGTTGAGAGATGCACCCTTGGAGTGTTCCACCGGAGAAAACACCAGGCTCGAAAGCAGCATTAACCAGCCACCACCTCTCATGCCAGCAGAAGTCACCGGTGACCAGGATGACCGTGAAGGTAAAACCGAGAAAGCCAGAATGGCCACCAGCTCCAGTTCTCTGCTCTCGGGAGATGGCAGTGGTCGTACCCCAAGTCAGGAGAAAGGGGAAAACGGCGTCCTCTTTCAGGATTTAATGGACCGCATTAATGAAAAATTAAAATCCATTGAAACGACAGATATGGCAAACTTTGTCAAAGTATCCAGTGGAGATTGTCATACAGACAGTGATTTCAAGTTGGGAGATTTCATAAGCTCTCTCTTGCACAATGCCAAGGCCAGCGACTGCAGCTTTATGGAACTGCTGAGTCAACATGATAGGAAGGCAGAAAATAAGATCATTCAGACGAGATTTCGTAAACGCCAAGAAACCCTGTTTGCAATGCACAGCTCTCTGGACTCCCCCACGTTTCGGAGGCAGTCCTTACAGATCAAACGAGAACTGGCTAGTCTTGATGACCATTTCTTAAGGAAAAAATACACTGACAAAAATTCCAAGAAATCCCCGCGCGGTCGTGAGGTGTATTCAAAGAACAAAGAAGAAACCCATGCTCTCCACAGGCTCTCTTTAGAAAACAGTAAAATCCAGGGGGATAAGAACCGAGAAGCCACATTTTCACCAGATCATGGGTTGCAGTCATTGCCACTACCTCTTCGTAGCTTAGAAACAGGTTTGACTTGTGACCCATTTTCAGAAAACTTTAAAACAAGGTCTGAGAAAGCGTGCATAAAAACAGCACAGGAGAAATTCGCGGCTGAGGGGGAAAGCCTGCAAAATCACAGCGACAACTTCCAGTTAGACACCCTTCCTACGCCTCCAAAGAACAGTGTTCCTGGACTCTTGAGTAGAACAAAACGCACCATAGTGCCCCCAGGGTGGTACTCTATATACGTGACAAATAGTTGTGTGTTTAGAAAATCTCCCAAGGCTAAAAAACTACCAGAATCCATGCCAAATAAGGGTGCCGTGAAACATAGCCACAGTGAAAGCTCGCAGGATCTAGACCTCAACAAAATTGCGATGCATTCTAATTTGCAAGTGGTCGTCAAGCGTTTGGAAGATACGATAAGTCTGGCACAAAAGACTTGGAGTAATAATCAGCCCTTATCCCCAGGGTGTAAGGCATCCAGGAAACTGTTAGAAGATGCCCACAGTAAAACCCAAAATGCCGATAAAAATATGACTGTGAACATGAGCAGGATGGCATGCACAGAGCAGAGTTTCTCAAAGCCTGTGCTGGCACCCAGCAATATTATCCACAGCGGACATGTGCCATCGAAGGATTTGGATAACCAGAGCCTTGACAGCCAGCAGGAGTCACCAGTGTCAGATGCTGGTAGCTTCATCTCCAGAGTTGCAAGTATACCAACAAAACACGAAGGCGGTGAAAGCTCTCTTTCCAGCTACTTCAGTCCTGTCAAACTCATGTTCCTATCCGAAGTGAAAAGCAGGGAAGGCGTCAAATACATTCTAACGTCGGTTGGCAATTCCCAGTCAAATAGTGGTCTGTCTGCTGAAAAACGTCCAACCCGCCACGCTTCTGATAAAAAGCCAGAAACAAGCGAGGCCGTCCAGAAGGCCAGCGTTGACAGTGGTGCTGGGGACCCCAGTGGCCCTGGCCCTCTTCAGGGAGAACGTGGCCAGCCCAGTGAGGCAGGAGAAAGTGCAGGGCCTTCCCCAGACATGGAGAAGCCCCAGGAAGAAGCCCAGGAAAGCCCCAGCAGTGCTACCAACTCGTCTTTTAAAAGAAAGCCAGGCAGACCTAAAAAGATAGGCCCTCAAGTTGTGAAACAGGTGAAGCGGCCTATTGGAAGGCCACCCAAACCTAAAACGGGGCTGGCAGACATCCCCGTGTGCCCCAGTGAGGCCCTGAGGCCTGAAAGCAAGAGCCCAGGATCCGGCCTCGCAGAAGCTCAAGGCGGCCCTTCTAACAAGAGTATCACAGTGACCGTCATTTATGGGCGCTCGAGAAGGGCCAAGAGGTACGTGTGTGAGGGCAGCAGTGACAGGAGCAGGGAG